AAGTCAATCTTGTATTTCTGTGTAAACCTAAGGATAATAAAACATAAAAAATGAACATATATTAAGATCATAAACTATGTATTCATAGTCTTTGGCCGAATAGTATTACTTAAGTTGAAAAGTTCAGTATAATGAATAGTTGTGATGTTGGCGTTTGACCAAATTTTTAGACCTCGTAAATTGTCAACACTTGAAAGTAAAATAAAACTTGAATAAAGGGACGATGAAGGTAGTTTATTTTTAATATTAGTTTACATAGAGAAGACAAAAGTTACTTATGAGGTTACAACAGCTTTCAAAAATATAGAAAGCTAAAGAAAAGAATGACAATAAATATAACATGACCAATCAAATTATGAAAAAACTATTGTGAATTCATTCTCGAATTTCTTCTAAGTTTTCAAAAGCCTAATTGACCAAAATTTATTTTGACTAGAGAAACAATCAAGGAATTACAAAAGTATGTTACATTCAAAATATTCTTCAAATTATATAACTTAAGATTCTTAGTTAAAATTAATTAATTATATCTACATGGTAAAATGTCTTAAGTGACATTTATATAGAAAATCTAACCATATAATTATTTCGTTTATTGTACAATTTCTTTTTCTTTTTCCATAATGAGCCATTATTGTCTCTTAACTATTCATATAATTTATTATCACAGTTGACTGTGTATGAAAGTAGATAATTTAGGTCTTCACTACCATTAAATACATAATAATAGGAAGGTTTTTAGTGCCAAATGCCATGTATCAAATGATTCGAAATACATAGAAGTTGTTTTGAATCACTAATCTATTAGCTTTCTTTATACATAAAGGTTGACTATCGATAACTGTGAAGCAGTAAATTTTGTTTCAGTGATTGCTAAGGGTCTGATAATTGTCAAGTGGATTACCATTATATGATTTATGTTTTATTATACACTAAAGTTGTATATATATTTATATTCTAGACGAAAACCACTTAATTCTCAACGTCAAAATGCGAAAACATGTTTTGTATAGTCTGATTGCGCTAAGCTATTAATCATTTTCAACTATTGGTTTTATGTGTGGTACGTTTTGTTTCTCAAATGACAACAGTGTATATTTTATTTGTTAACTTATAACCACTTAGAATAATTTAATTTATATCAAATGGATCCAAATCATAAAGTATGGGTGTGTATACATTGACCTGTACTTGTACACTCAAACGTTTAGTAAACACATTAAGATTTTCGGCCGGTGAATAGACTTGGATTTTATTTATTTACAATTTAAAAGTTGAGTGTCAAACTATCATAAATGTCTAGGGAGTGTAAGGTCACATGAGTAAATACCATTGGTAGAAGGATATTGACTTAGGTTTCATACTATTTAGCGCTCTTCAGAACGATAGTCAAAATTCTATTGGTACCATCAGCCTCCTTATGATTATAAAGATAACTTGCAAACGGGTTACAACTCGTATAAAACCAAGCTTTGAGGCTTTCTATCAACTAGCTTCAAATATCTAGCATCAGTTCATCGCATATGTGATGTAGAAGACACCCAGCAAACTGATTGATAAAATTCGAGTAGTACCGAAAGCTATACAAACATGACACTGGCCAGTACTCAGTAAACAATCAGTTTGTGTTTGAACCCAGTTTTAAAAACAATATTACTGTAGAAGTATTTCGAATGAATGGAAAACTAAATAACTTCAGCAAATATTGTGGAATATTTGATGGGGATGACAACATCAGTTCATATTATAAGCATATTAAAAAATTAAGACATTATTTTTTATGATAAAACTCATCTGAATTTACTGTTCAGTACCGAATGAAATCAGCTGCAAAACTGTTCAAAATCAGTGTGAATAAAATGACTGTTTTGATGTAGTCTATAATACCTTAGCAGTACACTGCTACGTAGCATAAAACACAGGACCATCTATACCAAGTTTTCGTCATCTGAAAAATGTTATAGTATCTATCTAAATGAGTCAAAAGAATTCTTAGAATTTTAAATTCACACACACTTGTTACCGAAAATCCGGCAAACCTATCTTTAATGGAATGTGGATTCTTTATTAAGCAAACTAGAATAATAATAATAATAATACATTAAGTTAGCTAAAGTATTTGTATAAGAAACCAGCAATTATCTAAAAAGAAATGTGTTATCAACTTGAACTGCAGTACTAAACAGCTAGATATGTTTAATGAATAGACCATATAGACATCATGATGTTTATCATGTCAAGAAATTATCTACAGCTGACACGAATCCTAAACGACAGTTTATATATTTGCGATACACGATAACATCCAATGACTATAACTTATATAGGTTTTTACAATACCTGTGATAAAATAAAGCTGTCTCCATACGCTAAACATTAGGTCTGTAAACTAATGGACTTTACACACTACTTGTAAAATATTGTTTTAAAATAAGGACAAGATTCATAATCCAAACAATCCCAGTGTTACATCGATTCATCATTATCTTTATTAATTATTGTACAAATCATTAATTAATTACCTTATTTATGAATAATCCATTGACAATATGATTTATAAGTAATACTAGTAGTAATTATTATTATCATCATCACTTATCTCATTAAGTAGAATTACATCCTTTAATAATGACTAATCACTGGTTTATGTACAATGTTAGTAATCACTGAATATCTGTTCAACAAATGAAATGATCATTAACTCATTACCTTTTTTTATAATGACTAATTGAGTGGTCATTTTTTGCATTAATTTTAAGGATAAAACAGGATGCATTGCATTATTAGATTGGACAAAAAAATTTCTTTGTTAACCTACTTTGTACTACAATAGAGTGTTGGTTGAAATATGTTTATTTTAATAATAAGATTGTCAGACAGTTTATATCGTTACAAAGCTATTTTATTTGTTAGACTAATGACTTATTTCTTTATAGCAGTTTCATAGATTATGTAGGTTAGCCTCAATCTGCAGGTAACATTTCTAAATGACTATTCTATAGAATACATTACTTAACAGTTTTTTTGTAAATGAAAACACTTGCCATTCATAAGCTTGAACAGAAGTTAAGTACCAAATTTCTAACTCAATACTAAATAATTTATCATTCAAATGCTCATTTTAAAATTAAAACTTTCTTGGCTCGGTCTCTTTTAAGTCTATGGGTGCATACTACAGAGTAATTAAAAAAAAAACACAAATGTTCTCTGACCTCTACAATATTTCTTTACTTAGTACCAATCAGTCTTGAAAGCTATCAACAACTAAAATTATGCTATTCAGAAGTTTTACGAAATTATGTAATATTCATTTAATTATATAAAAGATTGTTGATGTAATAATGTTGCTGTCATTTATTTAGGTATCCAAGCAAAATCTAAAATTTATTTATCATGAACAAACTTTGATAAGAAACCTTAAACAGTTATCATTTCAAGTTTTTCAAATAAAAATTCCAGTGGATTGTTATGTTCATTCATGAAATATTTTTGATACCAGCTTATTTTGATTAAGTCACCTGAATGAAGCACATGGGAATAACTTAATTTCATCTGTTCTAAAAGTGTTTTATACTTATTACAACTACATATTTATTCTATTTGCTTTATTTAGTGTTATTTTGTATTCAACAGCCTAACATTAACCTTAGCTTCATTCTCACTTATATTCCATATAATTAAATTAATTATAATGAGAAAGAAAGCTGAACGATCGTTAGGGGTTATTTGACCTTAATAAAAAACAAGTTATTAGTTTAGCTTCCTGAGTTCATTCTTCACATTTGATTATTTAATGAAACCTGATATTTGCTTAGCTTGAGGCTAAGCAAATGTTTTTATAATAATTGCGTGTACTAATTACTATTATTTCTGTTAAATGAATCGTGAATTAGAATAGCCTACTCATTATTATAATAAAAGTAACCAGCTGTTAGTGACTAATGAATTTTGGTATTTTAAAATTTTTTTAATACGATCCAATTTGGTTCAATTCATATCATATATTAGTTACTGAACTAAACTAATGAGTTATTTTTCTGTATTACTGATGTACCTTGAAAGATGATAAGAAAATCTATTAATCATCTTCTGAATTCTCAGTAAACCTATAACTGACATTTTTCATATGACAAAGCATCAACTTAAATAACGATCCATAATGATGCTGGTACTTTATTTATAATAAAACAATCCTATAGTTTGACTTAATGTCACTCATCGTAAATTTTCACATTTTGAATAAGTATGAATACATTTTGAGCCACAAATACTGATTTTCATTCTATTCACATAAAATCACTCAATAAAAGACTTCTATTAGCAAAGATAATACCTAGAAATATGATATTGAATTCTAAAAAAGAACCATCATTGTCAAACACTTCTAAAGACTTAAACGTAGAGCTAAATATTATGTTCAGTGTCTTATAGTCGTTAACACTTTTTTCCGTGTTGGTTTTCAACTAAAGTCAACTTTACGTGAATCCTTACAGGTCCTGGGTACGAATCTTACGAGGGGGGATGCGATCGTGTATGCGCACTGATGAGGAGTCCCACAATAGGATTTCCATGGTTGTCTAGCTTCAACTGACTCATGATTTCAACTACTGAAAATTCTTATTCAGTTTTTTTTAAGAAGTCAATATTGATCTTTATAAAAACAAACTAAACCTAGTTATCATTTCCTATTCATCGGTAATTTTACTACCATATAACATAAACTGTCGGAAATTAAATAATATTCCAAATTTTATTCTGCATTTTTTGTTATTTCTTAAAGAGAATTAACCTACTCAGTAACATACTGTTGTTGTTTATTTCTCCAATAACAGACATATCAAAACTAATAATAGTTAATAAGACATACATTCAGATCTTATTGTTTTCGTTCAAGCATTGATCCATGTGTATTCAGAAGAATTCAGTTGACGTACATTCTTTTTCTTACATCTTTAGTAATTTTTTTTTCAATTTATCTTCTGTTCTTGTCTTATTTTCAGTTTACCAGTGAATTTTCAAGTATCCTCCATCTATTCAATAAGAGAATAAAACAAGATGAAAAAATGTAAAATTATTGATTATTATTTCATATTTCATGCATTATTTATTAATTATATTCAAATAATAATATGTGACCAAACATCAAATATTGATACAACAAATCATAAATCTGATAAATTATCTTCAAATTTAATCAATATTACAAAACATAATGGTCATAGCAACAAAATAAAGGAAACTATTGATAATTCTATTCCTAATGTTGGTTTACAAGCTGCAGTGATTTCTAGTGCAGGATTAATTGGTGATGGAGTAGTATCTTCTAATAAGTAAGTTAAATTTATGTATCAAATTTTGGATTGTTAATTATTTTAAGTAGGCATAACAGTTATGTGAGTTTGATGGTTGAATTATTCAAAATTTCAACCAAAATGATTCATATCTGAGTCTTAATTTATATAATTTAGTTTGAGAGCCCGATATCGTTATCAGGCCTAGCTCACATCTAATTAAATAAAGCTTAATTTATATATTAATTATAAGAATTTTTGAGGAATAATAAGTCATACATATCTGAATGTTGAAAAAAAGCGAGCGGTAAATAAGCTGATGCATGACAGCACCTTTAAACTGGTTTCTTATTTTAAAAAGCGTTTAAATAAGTTTTCTATATGACTAATGAACAATTTCAAGTTATTGTATTGTCTAGTTGCTTTTTAAAGCATACTTTAAAACCTTTTACTGCCACAACAGTTTGATTGTTCAATCAGTTACTCTTATCGTATGTATAGTATTTTTGCCGTTTTCCGGACGATACACATATGATATGGTTTTTCTTATTAGTCGTTAAATAATACTTGTGAATGTTTAATTTTAGAATTGTATAGGTACATATGTTGGTTAGTTCATTCTCTGGAAAATATCAATTAACAGTATAGGGTTGTGGAGATTAGTAAGTTACTGATTGAAATCACAGACCTATTGATATTAGACTAACATCGAAAACCTGGAAGCAATGGACGGCCGTTTCGTCCCATTGAGGGACTCTTCAGCGGTGCGCATCCACGATTACGTTCGCGGGTTCGAATCAATCGGCTCACGATCTCAATCAATATCAATTAAATTCTCACAGTTTTAATAATAAACAGCTGATAAGGTATTATATGTGAAACTTTTTCTCTAATTCATAAACATTACAATTTGATTTGTGGATAATCATTTGAAAGGATGAGTAAATTATGCCACTTACCCAAAATGGTATGAATAAATTAATATATTATGTTTGAAATGTAACTTTGTGAATCAACCTAACAATTGTTAATTAAAAGGAAACTTTAGTACAATAACTGATTGCATAATATGGCAAGTCAATAAATTCACTGATTGGTTGACCTAAATATCTTAGTAATAAAGAATTTGAGTCATGACTTGAATAGTTAAGTAATAATGTATATAACTGTAAAATAGGGTGAACAGAGTTTGAATTCTTTGATGACTCGCCAGTCCCTTTAATTGACTAGATCAACTTTCTTAAATAATGTTGTGTCGAGCAAGTCAAACTTATATATACACGGCTTTCCTGTTTATAAATAGAGAAAGAAGTTGATTTCTTATTGAAAGAATACTGTTATTCAAATAAAACTGTATATATGATCGTGTTCCATTTGGAACAGTTATAATATCATCTTTCTATTCTATAGACCTTCTCGTGACTGATTTTTTTTACTAATGATAATCATAGATAGAACATTCTGATATCAGATGAACATTCGTATTACACTAAAATTAGATCTAAGTTAAATCTCAATACGATAATTAAAATCAATAATTAGATTTTGAATACATTCAGCTGATTGACACTTACTGTTGATTAATCAATAATTGATTGTATGAACAATCTACAGATAGTATAAGAGTAAATTACTGCAATCACAAATGACATCTGGTTTACCAAGTTGTATACTTGTTTTTTCTCCTAACAAGTAATGATCACCAAAAAATTACAAGCCAGGTTGCTTTCCTCCAGCAATTCAATATATCAGAGCACCTGTCGAAATCTACTGCCCACTAATTGTTTCTACACTGTTTCTGAGAGATACAAAAATGAGTAGTGTCTTGAATTAAATAGATTGATTCATTTAAATATAAAGTATTTTGTTTACAGTAAAAAATGGAAATATGACGTAATAACTACCTAAAATTGATTTTAATTCATCAACAAAGTGTCATTTTCTTAAACGTTAAATGGGCGAGAAAAGCTTTCAATGGTTTCTTATAATACAAAATTAAAACCTATTACATTTTAGTTGATAAAAATTCCGTCCACTATACCCTATCTCAAGTAAATCACTGTTAGAAAGTTAAATAGAATAGCAGAATTAAACTTAATCCATTTCCTTATACATAAAATATTAATAATGGCTTTATTCAATATTGTATTTTTTTGGTACACTATAGAATTTTAAGCACAAAGTATTTCAACAAGTTTTCTTTTCTTATTTCTTGATCGATTCTTGCAATAAATATTAAGTGGTCGCCAGTTAGATGTTAGCAGTTCAGGAATCGACATTGAATAATGTATATTCTTTACGGTGCATATTACCAGGAACCACAATATCTCTGATTGGACTCTTTTGTAACTCGTACAGAGAAATGTGGTAAACTTTTCACAAACACACCTAGATAGGTTATGTTATGAGACTACTAGGCATAAGGATGTGTTAAAACAAACATGAAGACAAATAACTTGCTGAAATATCTAGATGACAGGAACAGGTAGACCAGATATTCAAACAGGCCATCCAATAGATATAATAACGGCTCAGTCTACTCAAGATAAAAAGTTTATTTTTTTAGTGATCACTATTGATTGTCATCAAGACATTTGATGAAAAGATGGGAGTTGGAAATATTCAACAGGAAACCCTGGACAATAGTTTCGTGCTATCTAGCACTCATCAGCAAGGTGTACCTGTAATCTTGAAAACACTAGCGGATTCGATCCAGTCTCACGAGCTCCATAGTCAGAGACGTTACCACTGAGCAATTCAAGTCGCGACTGACCTCCTGTAGGGTTGTGATGTACTCACAATTGATTGGTCACTGAGTGATGATCAATGTCATGTGTGTTGGGTTATTCTTAGTGCAGGTTGAATGCTATCTGACTGTGAGGCTGGGTGACACGGGATTGAATCCGTTAGGGAACATCAGTTTCCTCAAGATTACAAGTACATCTTGTTGATGAGTGCAAAATAGTACGAAACCCGGGTCCAAGGTTTTTTCCTGTTGACTACCTCCAACCATCATCTTTTCTCAACATAGTGCACGTAATGTCAAGTCACCTAGACTAGTGACCATATTGCAAGTTGGTCAATATCATTCAATCTGTATATGACATTGATCACCACTCAGTAATCATTCAATTGTGAACATTTGATGAATTTACTTAGTATCACTTAAAATATCATCTCTTTTTCAATATAATTAAAAAGAAAATAACATATCTTTTTAACATACTTATATTTTAATATTATATCTAATTACAAAGTTATATCCCAGATAGATAAAAAACGAACTATTTATACTACTGTATTTGATTAAATTATCAAATGTAACTCTACATATATTAGTACTATCTGAACTAATAAGATAATTAAATCAACAATCAGCATAAAATTATACTATTTGTATAAATTCTATTATTATATCTACATAACTTATTCAAAACTATTATTTAATTTAGTAAATAATAATAATATACAAAAACTGTTTACATACTTAGTGAATTTCATTTACCACTACTACTACTACACTTCAACAATGTTTCTTTTTCTAAATAAATAGATAAACATTCATATTAAGGAAATGAGTATATAGTTAAGTGGTTAGTTAGTAAACTAAATGAGTAGTATTTTACACATAAATATAATATTGAATATTAAGTTTATTTTCTTTACTTAAGTTATGATAATATTCAATGACTAATAATAATACAAAAATGAAAAATAAGAAAATCTCATATTTTTCATCATCATCATCATCATCATCATCAAAAAGAAGAAACGTTCAAAAAGAATCGAAATATTTCAAATGTAGATTCATTGAAGTAATAGAAACTGAATATATATATATATATATATATATATATATATATATATATATGTCTACTGAATACCGAAATAACCTAAAAGAGGGTTAGAGATGATTCAAGAGTTGATGAGTCAGCATACTTATACATAAGTAAATGTATGTATATCACTTAAATTCAGACATTTATGATCATATTCTAATAAAGTAATATTCGACATGTTTTATTAGTCTACTTTACTTAGTTGATTAAATATTTTAATATACTATTTATTTCCTCTACTTAAATTCAATAATAATAACAATAATTTTAGAATATAAGGTGTATTATGTATAGGAAAATTACAACAACAACAACACATTACTGAGTCAGCATTTACAATTTTGTTTCATTGTTAATTTAAATTTGTATGATTGTTGAGAATTTTCTACTACTCAAGGGAAAACTTATCTTAATTATTATAAAATTGTTATTAGGCAGGTAAGTAAATAACATTGCTTATAGATTTTTAATTAATTAATTAATTAAATCAATGTATGCTCACTAGCGATTGGCTTCAAGAAGTATTTCCTGCAGTTCTAGTGATAAACCAGTGGAGTTCAACCGGGTCTGTTGTGAGATAGTAACTCACTGAAGACAATGGTGGATGTGTCGCTCAACTTCGTGTATTGGTTGAAGTTAGACATTAACATAGTTGGATGCAGGCCCAGTGGTCTAGTGGTTAAGCGCTCGCGCGCGAGACTGATATGTCCTGGGTTTGAATCTCGCCAGGCGAGATCGTGGATACACACTGCTGAGGATTCCCACAATAGGACGAAACGGCTGTCCAGTACTTCGAGGTTTTCCATGGTGGTCTAACATCAATTGACTCATGATCCCAACCACTGAAATAAACAAAAATCTAACTTACAGATAACTATCTGGAAAAAATTATGTTTGAACTTGTAAATATAAACATGTTAGAATATTGGCACTAAATTGATTTTAATTTTAACTGCAAATTAATGTTTATCTCAAATTCTGTCATTCTAACAAGTAACACATATATTACCTACTCTAGAAGATTTTCATTGTTCGATCGAATTTTATGTATGATATCATTTTTATAAATATGGAGATATGTGAAGATTAGAGTATTTTCATAATTAAATTCACCAGTCGATCTAAGCTAAGGATTGATGAAAGTTTGACATTAACACTATTAGATATCAGCTCAGTGTTTTAGAGGTTAAGTGTTCTCAC